ATGAAAAAAAACAAAAGTCTAGCTAAAAGAACTGAATAAATCCTTCTTGAACAAGATGAAAATTCTATCAGCCAAATCCATTCTTTCATATCTGAGTTTAAGTCATTTTCCATTCCCCACCCCCATCTTTCCCTGAGTTTTGTGTTATTTGAGGGCAAGGCATGCTTTCTACATAAAGAAAATGCCTTCACTTCAATGATTAGGATTCTATGTTCAACGTAGTTTTGTTTTTTGTTTTGCTTTGTTTTTTTTTTATTGTTGTTGTTTGGCAGTGCTGGGGACTGAACCCAGGGCCCTTCACATGCTAGGCAAGCACACGACCACTGTACCCCATACTTGTTTTTAAGAATTTGGGGGGAAATCTTCAAATCCTCAGTCATTAAAACAGCCCTAAGCTTATACATTTTTCTAATGTGCTCAATATGGTTTTCAAAGTATGTTCCATTTTGTAGTGACAGAACACATCTGCCTCTGCATCTTCCCACTCCTGGGAATCCTAAGAACATCTCATGTCTTTATTTTTTAAAAGGAGTTTTAATGGTACATATTTACGGGGTACACTGAAATCATTCAGTGTATACACACTGTGTAATGATCAGATTAGGGTAATTAGCATTTCCTCTCCTTAAACATTCATTTATCATTTGTTATGTTGAAAATCTTTAAACTTTTCTTCTCTAGTTCTTTGTAAAATACACAATGAATTGTTGTGAAGTATAACATTAGGACTTCTTCATCCTATGGCACTGTATTTTGGTATACTGATCCAACCTCCCTCTCCTCTCCGCCCTCTACTTTTCCTAGCCTCTAGTGACCACTATTCTGCTCTCTACTCTGAGAGGTATACTCTTCCAGGTATATCTCTACTGCTATGAGATCAATTTTTGTAGGTTCGACAAAGAAGTGAACAGTTTTGTAGGTTCGACATTTATCTTTTTGTGCCTTATTTCACTCAGCATAACATCCCCTAGTTCCATCCACATTTCCTAAAATGACAGGACTTTATTTTCTTTTTATGGTTTAATAATGTTCCATTGATTATGTGTACCACATTTTAACCACTCCCCATTGGGCATTAGGTATTGGATATGGAATTGATTCCATATGTTGGTTAGTGAAAATATCACATTTCTTAACTGGTAATTAAGATTTGGAAAGTACAACCTAATGGCCTGCGGATAAAGTGGAATCAACTAAAGCCAATCAAACAATACTGCTTCTGATTAATGAACAGTCTCCCTTAAAATGTTGTGCTCATTTTTAGAAATTTATAGTTTGCAAATTATGATTCTAAAAGATTTTTCTATATTGAAATTCATAGTATGAAGATTGAGATTTGGGGGCTGGGGATGTGGCTCAAGCAGTAACGCACTAGCCTGGCATGCGTGCGGCCCGGGTTCAATCCTCAGCACCACATACAAACAAGGAGGTTGTGTCTGCCGAAGACTAAAAAAGAATAAATATTTTTAAAAATTATCTCTCTCTCTCCAAAAAAAAAAGATTGAGATTTTCTAAATGGTTGTCTCCTGTACGGTAAGGGATATTAGTTTGGAATATACAATGCCATCTTTATAGATGTGTTATAGTTTGAATCTCAAATGTCCCTGCAAAGGTTTGGTCCTCAGTGCAGCAATGCTCAGGTGAGACTTTGCAGAAGTGATTAGATAAGGCTTTGACCTCACTGATGGAGTAACACCTTCATGGGTTCATAATCGAGTAGACTATTGAGAGGTGGTGGAAACTATAGGATGTAAGGCCTCAATGGAGGACATAGTCACTGGGAGTGTGTCCTAGAAGGGTATATCTTGTGCCCAGCCCCCCACTCCCCCACCATCTGCCTGCTGCCATGAGATGACACTTTCCTCCACCTTGCCCTTCCGCCATGATGCTCTGCCTCACATCAGGCCCAGGGCAATGGAGTTAGCTGACCATGGACTGTAGCTTCTGAAACCATGAGCCAAAAGAAATCTTTCCTCCTTGTGTTTTTTTTCAGGTATTTTTGTCACAGAGATGAAAAGTTGACTAACATAAGATGGAATCAAATTACAATTAAGGGGATAGTTTTGTATCTTTCTGAACTTATAATCTTGATCATCATAATCTTTAAAAACATTTAAGTTTTCTTGTCTATGGATGAGGAAAATATCTTCTGTACTCAAGTTAAAACTGTAAAAACATTTAAAGATGAAGAAAATCAAGAAAACTATAGCAATACTACTAACTAGTATTTACTAACCACTTTGGCCATTCCCAGTGCTAAATATGTTATTTGCATTGTTTTTTTATGTTAGAGTGACAATACATATAAATTGAAGTGTGGTTTAACAGAAACTATTGATGCTTCTATTAGGAAAAATTCAGCCAGCATTCATTCACCTTAGCTTTCAAAGGTTGACTGGCTTTGCTTTTTCACAAATCTTTTCTTAACGAGATCACTAGTGGTCCTTCATGAAATTGCTTACATAAAAATATAATTGTATATCAAAGATTTTTAGCCCCAAAGGAGCAGGACACCAATTTATATTGGCTTTACGTTCATTTCTCAGCTTTTGCACCATTTTTTAATAGCAGTCACAAACTGAAGGCCTTCAGCTAAAAGCATTTGTGAACTTGGGTATTTTTGCCTTTCACTTTTTAAAAATTTATTTGCTACTAATATTTAAAAGCTAGGAGTTTTGCCCTCCCTTCTTTCCTTTCTTCTTCTTCTGGTTTTAGTTATTTTGTTTGTTTTGTTTTATTTTGTACTGGGGATTAAACCCCAGGGTCAGTTTTACCGCTGAGCTACGTCCCTATCCCTTTGAGACAGGGTCTCACTAAGTTGCCTAGCCTGGAATCAAACTTGCAATCCTCTGACCTCAGCCTCTTTAGCAGTTGGGATTACAGTTGTCTCCACACCTGGCAAGAATTTTATTTTTGACATCCATATTTTCTTGAAAAAATATGACCAGACTGCCTTCATCACTGCCTTCCATGCTCCCAACTGTCTCCATGCGCTCAAGCTTGAGGCCAATAATTCTCCCTCATTCTACTCACACAGCAGTTTTTCATTCACCCTACACCCCTCAAATTAATCAGCCAGGTTCTTGGAGGTCTTTGAATTTATAACTCCTGTCTTTAATTGTAGATATGATAGCAACTAAAACTTCACAGTGCTTAACAGGGCTAGACAATTTCCCAAGTATTTAAAATGCACTAACTCATTTAATCTTCAAAGTAACTGACAGGTGCCAGGCACGGTGGCTCATGCCTGTAATCCCAGCCACTGGGGAGGCTGAGGAAAGAGGATCGCGAGTTCAAAGCCAGCCTCAGCAAAAGCAAGGCACTAAGCAGCTCAGTGAGACCCTGTCTCTAAATAAAATACAAAATAGGGCTGGGGATGTTGCTCAGTGGTCGAGTACTTCTGAGTTCAAACCTGAATTCAATTTCCAGTACTCCCCCAACCCCAACCCCAAAATCACAAAATAACAGGTGAACACAATCTGAAAATCCATTTCACAGTTTCAGAAGCTGAGACAGAAATGTGGACAACTTGCACAAGGCCACACACTTGGTAGGAATGACTGTAGACAGAGGATAACTGGCTCAGAGTCTAAGCTTTCTTTTTCACATGGTAGCAGGCTTCCTCTAACTGATGTCTTTACAGTTAATCGCCTTTGGAAGTACCTAGTGGGTGCTGCTCTTTGAAACACCTAGGGAGTACACTTTAGATAGAGATTGGACCTTACTTAGTTAGCATTTTATTTAATGTCATGTTGGTTGATTAGACAAGTTGCCCTTTCTCTAAGGCTTTACTGCTATCTGCCAGAAAGCTGTGGATACAAAATGACAAATGAATGGTTCTGCATTTAAAGGCACCTCTAGAGCTGTCTACACAGCCATATGCAGTGGCCCTAGGCTTGAGAATGTCTTGCTATTTTTACAGTTAAGACTTACTTCATATTTGCATGCATATAAGATTAACCAAAAAAAAAATGTTTTGCAATAATAAAGATCTATGAATCATACATGTAATTTTCTATGCAACTTGGACTTTTCATTATTAAGAATTATTTCATGATTAGGACAGAAAAATTTAGAGTGATGATATTAAACATTAATATCTCCAAATTCCAGGAGCTATTTCCCTCTGCCCAAGAACAAACTTGGAAACTCTGACAGCTGTTCGGTCTTCCACAGACATGATGCAATCACAAAAACTTCATCTTTGCCCAAGGAAAGCCCTTGGAATTGCATGGTCTTTCAGCATCCCCTCCCCTTCTTGTAACATAAAGCTTGAAAGTTATAATAAGAGATTTGCTCTACTAATTCTTTCATAGATATATTTAACCTAAGTATCAATTATACTGCTCTTATCCCAATATTAATAACAATGAGATAGGATTTGAATTCAGATTTGTTTGACTCCTAAATTCTGGTTTATTCTACCATTCTACAATGCCTCCTAAATACTAAATGCTAAATTAGTCTAGTAGCTGCTCAGCAAGTCTACTAAGCATTGAGAGCTATGCTGGACCATTTGCAGAACTGTTTGGGGCAGATAGTGATAAAGTGCTGGGAGTGAGGACATCACACTCCTAGGAAGCAGAGAGCAAACCACATAATCAAATGGAACTACATTCTTGAAGTTAAATTCATTCTTTCCAAATGGGACGGACATCCAATTAAGAGTCCCAAAGATTTAGGAGATGATGATGAAAAGGAATCAATTGAGAGAACCCTTTGGAGAGGAAGGAAAAAGAAAGATGAGAATTCTCAGTGGTTAAGTTCTTGAAGATGTTAAGAGAACTGTACCCACGCCAACTCATCATGTCTCACAATTTAAAGTCTAACAGAGCAGAACTAGGAAGTTATTTGTTAAGTGGGGTGGGGGGGGGAACTCTTCCAAGTAAGCGAGCAGGGAGAGTATCAGAAATCCTAAATTAAAAGGAGTTACACTCAGTCCAGCCAAGAAGCAATAGAGCATGGCTGAACAGGGTTTGGGAAGATCTGTGTGAACTTACAGGACCGTGGTCTGCTGTGGTACCTGAGGAATGTGATCCAGCATCAAGTGCATGCAGCGGATGGTGCTCTTAAAGCAAAGGCACCGGCTGGGGCAGGGCAGCACCGGCAGACACCAGCTGGCCAGGAGGAAGCAAGTGGTCCAGCAGAGGAGTCTGGGCTCCATTGCTCCATCCGCGGCTGGACAGCAGCAGCTGCGGCAGCAATAGCAGTGGTGGTGGGGATAGTCGGGGCTGGGCTAAACCAGGCTTGGGAGCAGTGCCTGAAAGCAGCTCCCAGGGAAGAGGCACCCCCTGGCCAATCCAGAAGGAGAGAGATCACATTACGACGCTGAAGGCAGGGGGCGGCTCTAAGCAGAAATCAGACTCCCAAGGACAAGGGGGACTTGTGAGTGCAAGAGGCTCTGTAGGCAGTGTGATGCAAATAAAAACTTTTCCAAAGTTGCTTCCACTGCACTTTTTATGTAAGCCCCAGCCTCTTAGCCCCTAGCTGTCCTTTTGAAGTTCAGGTTGATTAATTATTTATTGAATCCAGGCAGAACAGTTTTCCTTCTTTTTATCTGATAACATTACCAAATCCTAAAAGGGCAGGCAGTTCTAATGAGTTGATCTAGGTGCACGAATTCCTACCTTACTGCAAACGGTGCTCTGAAAAACATGGTTTCCCTCCTTTTTCTATATTCTACCCCTAAACCCAACACATTTCACTCACGTAAGATTCAAACTGCCTACTTCAGATTTCTTCAATATTTAATGTTTAAAATTGTATGTTTGAAACCATGATCTTGTATACAGACAACTGGTGGACAAACATGTAACTATGTAAAGTAGTGCAGGTGCTGGCTGGAGAATGGCTTGTCATTGTCATGCATTTCCAGGAAGTGAGTGGGCCCCTCTTTGAGGATGTCTGGAAGAACAGGATTGATAGTTAAACACTTATACTCTGGGCATTCTGTTAAGCAGATATTAAAAAGGAGTGGGGGGAGTCTTGATTTGATTTTATCTTTAAAGAATTAAAGTTTTCCAACAAATCTCTTTTTAAGAATAGAAATACAAATTAAAACTTGTATGGTCGAACCCAGGTGATCAGACTGGGAATCCAATATAGTAAATGCAGAGTTCTGTCGAGTCTTATCAGTTTTAAGAGGAAAAAATAAATGCATCCTTCCACAATAGTCTTTTCAGGCTGTGTACATTCTACTGTAGGTGAATACTGCCCTCTTTTGGCAAAATGTTCACATCTACATGTGTGATGTTTGGGGGCTTAAAATACAAAAAGACTGAAAGAACCAAACTAATCTATGTGAACAGGATGACTTTTAAATAAACCTTAAGTATGCTTGGCATTTTTCATGTGTTTTATTGTCAAAGTATATCAAAAATTTTTTAAAAAAAGCAAATTCCTTTCAACTGTACTCATACAATTACTACGAGTACAATTACTACTTGTCAGTGTTGGATTTGGAAAATGTGAACCAGATGGCAGGTTAGTGCCTTACAATTTCAGCTCAAAAATATAATAAATATTATCTGTACTCAAAAGGTCTTCTTCCAGAAGGATAGATTAAAATCTTTCTAATTTAGAAGCCTATGTTAACATTGAACTGGGGGGAAAAGAACACTGATTACTGACTTTGAGTACAGGGCTTCGGAAGGGTAAGAACAAGCATCACACCATTACGTGGCCCTTCAGATAGTACCTTAGGACAACTCTCACCAAAAACAACTAAATGTGTTAGATAAAATATTTAACACGTTTTTGAAAATGCATTTATGTGCCATGATTTAGTTAGCAAGGTGTTTACAAAAGTCCAAAAATGAAGTGAAATGGGAAGCCCATAAGGCTGGTTCAGTTTGAGGTTATTTGCATAACTAAGTGAAATTAACTTTGGGACTGGAATAGGAGAGGTACTAGGATAGAAACCCCTCTACTAAGCAGGGAGTCTCACCTGGAAAAATCTGTATAGCCCCAGAGCTCTATCTTAAAAATAAACTGGGAACACTTCCCACCCTTGGCCTTGGCCTTGGCCTTGCCCACCCACCTACTCACCCTGACAACACAAGAAAAACTGCCTATTTCAAGGCTTGACAGTGGGGAGGCAGCAAGTAAAATCTCCCTGGAGCTGTCATAACTCCAAAGTAGCCTTCTAGTGCAGTTCTAGATCATCCCACTCCACCTGAGTGGTCCAGAAGACCTAACTAAAAATGTAAAGAGTCCCATGGTCAAAGCTGTACAACACAAACTCAGTCAAAACCCACAAACTACAAAAGTTGTAAGTGCTAACCATGGAAACATCATGAGCAGAATTTACACCTGGAATCACACAAGGAATACAAAACAATTAAGTTCCATATGTTTACGTAAGGAGACAAATAGATGAGGATGGTGGGTACATGAAGTGAAGAGGATAATCCAATGAAATGAGCCTATTGTACTGACTCCCCACATGCTTACTTTGCCAAAAAGCAATCTGCCTGCAGGCCTTCTGTCCTGGGTGGACAGGAAATATCACATTTCTCAACAGACTGAGGCAAGCAGCTGAAGGTCTGGCAGTCAATGTAGGTAATGAATGATGGGGGTTGAGAAGAGGAGGGCTGGTTATCAAAGAAAAGAGAATGAGTTGCTAATAGCTAACCTTTTCCCTGCACAAGGAATTGCTAAGGATTACCCCAAGCTGCTCCTTCTGGACCTTAGACAAGTACAGAGAAGAAAAGGTGGGAGGTTTGGGAGTCTATAAAAGAGCAAGACACACTCATTCCTGAGTGCAACCACCTCTGGGCCCTCTTTTCTCCAAAGAAGTCTGCTATCCCTGCATTTCTCTCTTTTTAAATGAAACTTACTTTCTATGCGTTTCTTGGGTGTTTAATCTTCAAAACCAGGGGAATGAAGACCAATTCCTGACTGGTATCATTTAGAGAACTGAACACATTAATAAAAACAACCCAGCTGATCTTTAAAAAAAAGCAGAACTAGAAAACAAAACAGATAGTAAAACTCACTTAAAGGGTTTACCAGCAAATTTCAAACAACCTTAAAAGAGAATTGGTGCCAGGTATTGTGTACACAATCATAATCCCAGGGATCCAGGAAGCTGAGGCAGGAGGATTACAAATTCAGACAACTTGGTGAGGCCCTAAGCAACCTAGTGAGACTCTCTCTTAAAATAAAAAATAAAAAAAAGGTTAGGGATATGGCTTACTGGTAAAGTGGCCCTGGGTTCAATCCCTCATGCCAAAAATACATAAATACATAAAAGAGAACTGATGATCCATGAATATATCTGAAGAAATGATCTAAAATTCAACGCAGAGAGGAAATGTCAAGATAGTATTTGTAAGGGGGAAAAAAGGTAGCCAAGAATCTCCAGAATTGACAAAAGAGAACAACTCAACACAGCTACAAGACATGTAAATAGCAGGTAGGAAAAATGAAAAGATTCACACGCAGGCACATTATATGAAACTACAAAGGATTAACGATGCAAAGACAAGAATGTTAAGACATCTTTAAAGCAGATACACATGACAGATGACCCCCAAAAGGAAAGACCATCAGTTGACTTAATAACTACAGTGGAAGACAAAATATAGAGAAATCACAAATCCTTTAGAGGAAATGCTGCCAATCTAAACTCTTAAACAATGGACATAGTTTTTAAATGATTTTTTTTTCTGTCAGACAAAACTAAGAGTTTGCAACCATAGTCCTTTACTAACAGAAACTCAAAAGGTCATACCCTTGGGAAAAGGAAATTAGGATGGTCTAAGAGGAGGGAAGAAATAATGAGCAAAAACAGGTGCAAATGGGAGTATATCTAATCTAACATTGGTTAGATAAACAGTAGCAATGGTATGCTATACAGCTTCACATTTTAGAAGTAAAACATGCCAGCACATCATTTTGAGGTGATGGCCTCAGAGTTAGTGTCCTATTACTTAAGGTGATTAAATTAAGTGAATACATTAAAATGTTGTGTAATCACTAATAGCAGGAGGGAAAGTATAACTTCAAAATAAAAATAGAAAAAAAATGAAGAAATAATAATCCAAAGAATATAGAAAAGAAATATAGTAGGCATATAGCTCAACAATTCATTTGATAGTAATATTTAAAGTGAATGTCAATAGAAAGCATCAAGTAAGATTGTACAAATAAATTTTTAAGAAACTCAGCTATCTCTTGTTTATATGAAACATCATCTAAAACATAAGCAACAACAAAAGCTGAAAATAAAATAGTGTACTAGGTATCATTTTGCTATGCCAAGTAGGCACACGCACAAAAATGTACGTAAGTCATATTAGATTTGAACAATACAATTTAAAAATGCACTCAATTGACATTAATAGAACATGACAGTGGGCTGGGTATGTGATTCAGTAGTGGAGTGTTTGCCTGGCATGCATGAAGTTGAGGGTTTGATCACCAGCACCACAAAAAAACAAAAACCACGACAAAAAAATGACACTGAAAAATTGAAGTACATTTTTAGACCCATCAAGCCATTTATATAAAAAAATTACCATAAGGTTAATAAAACAAGAAATAAGGTTGTTCTTGTTTAAGACATCTATTTAGCACTGTCCTGAAAGTCCCAAACACATCAGGTAAAATAAAAAATCCCCCCCCAAAAAAACAACACAAAACTGTCTAAAATTTAAAGATATGAGTCTCTGTGTAGAAAACCTAGAAAAGTCACAAGAGACAAGGATATAAATATTGTACAAAAATCAATAAAAAGTCTAAAATACCATTTTAATAAACAGAACACAAGAATAGCAATAAACCTAACAAAAGATGACAGACCTTAGAGCCAAATTGTGTTAACTATTTTTAATAAGACCCCAAAGGAATACCATATTCATGTATTCATATCATAAGCTTGGCAAGAGGGGCACAATCTGACCTTTAAATTCAATATTATTCCAAGGTAATCCCAAAAATGTTGTGTACATGTGTAATCTGAAAAGCTGTTCATAAAATTACATGAAAGTCTACTGGTTCAAGAATAACCGAGAAATGCCTGGAACATAAGTTGAAGAGACTTAGCTTAGTATATCAAGAATTAGGGTAAATCTATAGTAAATAAAACTGTGTGGTTTAGCAGAGGGATATATAAACTAATAAAATAAAAAAGAAAGCTATATACGAACACAAATACATGAA